TTAGATCTAATCAATCCAAAGACAGCACAGCAAAAGAAAAGCCCTCAAAGTGAGTGGATCTCAGTGACAATTTCATAAGCAGTTCTCCCACTTGAACGGCTCTAACGATTTGCCAATAAAAATTACAAATAGTTTTACTTTGTCCCATTTGCAACAAATGAAACTTTATTGTCACAGGTTTGGATGAGAGAAATATTTAATCTTCCCTATCATTACTGAATTATCTAGTTTTTCTATGTTGATCTACTAAAAGTTAAGACACGTCATGGTGACCATGGCACTAAGCACTCTTTAATTTTATTATACACAAAACATAAAATCATCTACTGGATCAATGTTGTCATATGACATCAGGACTATTTAAAAAGCTGCTTGCAATTTTCAAAGATTATTTGGAACAATGTAGGAAAACAGTTTTCCAGGAAGTAGTGGTAATCCTTCTTCTATCCCATTTTTACTCAAAAATGCAGACAGAAGAAGGGTGGGTGTGTGGGGGGGTGTGTGTGTGTGTGGTGGTGTGTGGTTTCTCCTTTACAGAAAGAAGTTTGTAAATTAGTTTGTTCATCAGTTTGATCCTAAAATTAGATTTCTGCTGTCCCAAAGTTCTTTCTGCTGCAACTAAATACCACTTACAGAGGAAATAAAGGATCAAAAATTACAGTCTAGAAAATCAGATGGAAACAGTTTTTGTATTTTTGGTACTACAGCTACTCACTTTTCCTACACTGGCAAGAAAAAGAACTTGATGATTTAAGGAGAGTCTTCCATCCTCCTTTTCTTGGACTCTGTTAGCATAATAAACTGTTTTACTTTCCAATCTAAATTGGAATTACGTAGGCTAGTAATCCCTGAAGTCAACAGTATCTCTTGTACTTTGGAGTTTTCTAAAATCTCCATTAGTTAGTTGAAAGATGAAGGTCACCTGCTATAAATATATCTGTTTCATAGCATTTTTCTACGCAAATACGTTAACTATTTATTGAAATCATAAGGACTGTAGAGGTGGCCACTAACAACACTGCACATGTTTTAAGCTGATGGCATCCTGAAAACCAGGCTGTGTACGGGGTTGGGATGCTCTGTAAGTGTGGGGGGAACAAATACTGTCAAGAGGGTATCCTTTAGTCAAATTCTATTTATGAGAATATGTTATCATAAAATCCTCATTTAAGGAGTGAGAATGCTGCAGGCAGAGAAGCCTCCCTGCCACAGAGAATGTAATGAAGACATCTGTATGAACACAGTAAAGTTGTTACGGTCTTTTATTTGCAATGGATCAGAGAGGAGGGTCTTTATCGGTCTTATTCAAAGATCATTCGGGTCAATGCAAAGATTCCCTTAAGCTTCAGGGGCTTTTGTACAAAAGGAGGAGACAAATGCCTAGCGCCAATGATGACTGATGAAATAGCGGACTGTTTCGAGTGGGGAATGTGTAATATATACATATAATTAATTTGCTTACAGGAGATTATTTTTGTATATTATACGATTTTTCTGGTAAGCAGAAACCATAGCATACGTTTGAGTACTTCCCATCTGACTTTCTTTATTTCCTCATATCTTAACAAACATAACAAACTGAAACATGAAGCTATTTGTTTTCTGTTCTGTAACAAAAAAGATACGTTACTTTGATGCCCAGAAAATACATTAAACATTCATTTATTTGTGAGAGTTTCATTATATTATTACATATGCCTTGGTTTGGTGCATAGGAAGTGTACAGTTTAACATGCTGATTTTATTACCGATTTTAAAAAGGTACGGAGCTTTACTCTATAATAGACAGGAGATACAGGTCCGAGTTTCCCATGTATTGCTGAGTACAGATGAGATTGGAATTTAAGCAATATGCCTTATCCTTGTAAGAAGTTAATTTCAATGAGAGGTATTTTTTAATTAGAATCAAACATAATCTTACAATCAAATAATAAGTACAAAAAAGGACTATTTTTTTAATATGTGCAATAGCTTGTTAGTCTCTTACTATTTCTAATTCCTTTTGCACTTCCTCTTGTAGCCGTAGCTGAATGGCGCTTTTAAAACATCTAGGCTAAACTTTTCAGAAATGATTAGCAATTCTGGGTGCCTATTCAGAGTTACCCTACTGGGGCCCAAAAGCGAGTATTTGGCACTTTCTGGCAATCTGACTCCTTCCAAGGTAGTTAATGTTGTGGTGAAATTACTAATCCTTACCAAACTTCTTCCATCCAAAGATACCATATATTCATCCCAATGAACTCTGACATCTATTTTGTTCCACATCCTCAGTCGCTCTGGTTATCTGGCCAAGGAGCAATAGTTAAGATCTGCCTAAACATTTAGAAAAGTTTTAAATTTCACTAGGCAGCTGAGCACTTTTACACACTACTTATTTATACAGACAACTACTACATCAGGCTCACTTAATTTGCTCCACCCTATGTCTAATCAACGTAATAGCTTGTTATTTGTCTTAAACTATAAACCAAATATTTAAAAATAAAACAAAAAACCACTATTGGGTTTTACAAACAAGTATATGACATAATAGTTTGTGGTAATGCTTCAGGTTGGAGTGACTTGCTTGTCTGGGGTTTTACACGCTCTCTCAGAACCAGTACTCGGAGACAAAGATGTGAACATTGACAATGTTACGATGAGATACCACTCCACCCATGACGTAGTTCATCTCCAGTTTCAGGATGGCATGGAAAGGTCCAACAATGGGCCTCACCTGGCGAACTACACCTGTTGGGATAGAAATAGGTTGCTGAGATTAATAGGGGAATCAGAGGGGTTTGGATGAGCTACACCCTGCTGCATTTCAGCAAGAGAAAAACTCCCCTTCGTTTTCAGTATCGCTGATGGAAAGTGATTTTATCTATTGGATCTGTAAATGGCTTGCAGGAAAGTTTGCAAAATAAGAAAATATAACTTTTGAATCAAAATACCTTGCAGAAGATCTAGAAAGAGCACTAAAATGTTGCTAATGGCAGAAAAACTATATATTCTGAAATGAGAAGAGTTTTTTTACCTTTTATTCAGAGCGATAAACTCTTTAAGAAGTCTGCGACACTGCTTTTTACGTAGGACATAAGGAGACTTTCCCTAGGTAAGCCAGCACACACATGCCCTGAGGAGTACATAAGCATGCACACCTGGGAATGCCATGCAATTTCTGGTACCGTGTTGAAAACCACATTTCATTTGGAACAGTAGAAATTATATGTAATGGCGATTACGATGCAGCAATAAAATCAACACTTTCCCTATAAATATCTGATAACACTAATTTGTAAATTGACAGTGTGTTGCATCGTGGATGGATAACCCCACTGGAAGCAATCGGAATAAAAGCAGGCGAGTTTAATGAGGAAAGGGGGACTATCACAGCGTCTGTCCCTCTGTCATTCCTCACATGGATGGTGGCCATTCCCTCACCAACACCAGGGGTTGATAATGAGGAAGGAAGTGGTAAAGGAGAAGTAAGCTGTGTCTTTTAGGGCTCTAGGCTTTCGGTTTGCTTTACACAGAGGAGCTCCAGTGCCGGGGCGCAGCAGGACAGGGACTGCTGGGGGCTGAGTGGTGAGGTCCTCGGGGGGGGCAGGGCAGGTCTTCTCCAGGCAGGGCTTGTCCCACCATCCCAGCCAGGCCAGGGGGCAGCCGGGTTCAACCAAGGGCCCAGATCACTGGGCAAGGTCATGGTGATGACGCAGGGCCAAAGTCAAAGTAGGAAGGCAACATACGGGTCAGGTCCAGAACAAGAGGACCCACAGCTGTGACAGAGCTGGAGACCAGCTCTCTTCCAGCACAGCTCAGGCAGGGACTGAAGCTGAAATGGGGCTCCTGGCCTCTGGGCAGGGTATGGGGGAGGACCCCGGGGAGGCCCATCTGGGCCACAACGTCTTATGGGTGCCTTGAGACGATGTGGCTAAACAGAATAGCATTACAGCTTCAGGCCTACACAAAAGAAAGTCAAGGGGAGCTTTGCCATTGACTCCAAAGGCGCGGGATCAGACCGTAAACATGTTCTCACTTCACAGTTATTTTCTAGGTCCAGCGTTATTGGAGTAGGGAGCTACCCAAAGGCTCACATCTGAAAGATTGTATCCAAAAGGTCAGAATCACGTCAAGCTGAGGTCAGCCAGCAGGCACAGGGAGTCTGGCAGAGACCCCCTCCTCAGGCCCCTCCTTCTGACAACCGACTTATCTGACAGGGCATTTGATTCGGAAGGAAATACGCCGTTTAAGAAAAGATTAAGACGTATTCCTTCTGCGTGCTGGGGGTTATGTTTCACAAGCAGGCAGCACACCAGCGCCTTCCCGGAGTCCCAGCCGAACTCCTGCAGCAGTCCCCTATGAACTCATTGGCTTGAGATCTGATGGGAGAGATAAACGTTTGCTTATGCAGGCTGTCAGCACCTTTTTCTAAGGCAGTGATGACATTACAGTTTTGTCCTGTTTAAATACCAACTAATATCTTCAGCATGCAGTAAAATCGCGAACTTTTCACCACATTCACTTTGCTTGCCATATTTGATGAATACACTTCTTAAGCATCCTTCCCTCTACAATTTATATGTACATACATATATATACACACACACACTTTTTTTTTTTTTTAGTTTTCTTGGCTACTGTCCTGCACCTTATAAAAATGACTGGGCTTGGCAGATGATATATTGAAAAAGAAAAGCCTTGCTAAAATTGCCCTCCCTTTAGGGTAGCATTTAAAGCATTTTGCTAACAAAACATCACGTTATTGCAGGCGGTGCTTTAACTGACAACCACGGAAACACGCAGCATTGGAATCACTCAGTACTGGCAAGCTGTTTAACCCACCCTGTTAGCAGCTCATGCAGTGATCACCAAGCCTCAGATGGCAAAGGTTGCTGTTTCCATTTAGCAATCTTTTTATAGGGTTCTACACTTTCTTGCTCTGCTCTAGTAGAGTCTGCTCTAGTCTAGAAGTGGGATTGCAAATTGTGGTTTTTTTCTGACGTGATGCAATTCCACTCAAGATGGTTTATGCCACAGTATGGCATCTATCTGTACATTATTGATGTAGCATTCAAAGCAATTAGTAACTTTCTCATTCTTGTTTTGTTGCATTCTGCTAATAGGCAGAAAAAACGGAACATATTTTCAAGGTGGAACAGGCAAACACACTGTGATCCATGTGGCAGTACTTTTCCACACAGTTCTCTTGCTGCAGTTTTAAAATCAAGCCTAATAATGGTCTGAGAAGCGAATGCTGCACGTGTTAAGACAGCTATATTGAAGCAAGAAATTGAAGGAATGTACAAAGAAACACAATACTCTCACAATATTTATTTACCCAGTTTGTTGTGCTAATGTCCTAGATGGTCCTGAAATGACCACCAGTGCAAAAGAACTATTTCCCTTCCTATTAAATAAATAGGACGATGCAGTCAGATGGGTTTGCGCTACAGCACGTGTATAAGGATGCAGTCATTCTAAATGGGCAGAAGAAAAAAAAAAAGAGTAAGAAAAAAACCTTGAAATGTTCTACTGGACAAAAGCATATGACAGGTTTTTGGCAGACTTACTCATCGAGAGCTTTCTATTTTTTTGGTGAAAAGTGCTAAATTGGAAAACCTGAGCATTTTTCTCCACCAAACTCAAGGACAAATGCGGGTGGAAACCATGCAATAGCAAAGCTGCTCAGAGCCTGAAACCTGGCTACACATTTATCCAATTCCCAGCGATCCTGTTGCAGTGGTCCTAGGACTTGTCTCAGAAATGCTGTTAAAGGCTACCTGCTATAATATGTCGCTGCCTTTTGACGCTACCTGTGCCTGATTCTCTAATGCCTTGTGCCTTTCATGTCAGGCATGAGGGAGGCGCAGCTATTCTAGACCCAAACAAGGCCAGCAGTGCTTTGTGCCTACTCTCACAAACAGATGTCTAAAGAAAAAGCTTGAGACTCGGGCCTGGTACATGTAATTCACATACATGGCTCAATGAATCAGTCAGTATCTCGACAGCATTTAGCACAGGACACATTCGAAGATGCCATGTGTAATAATTCTGGATGTTTTTAAGCGACATGGATTTATCAGTTACTGCACCATTTGCATAAACATGTTGTTCCACTATGCCTTTTGGCAGACTAATGCTGGGTCCAGATTTGTGGTCTGGCATCCTTCAGCATTTATAGCTGAATATTAAGTATAAAAACATACTTCATAGTAATAGGAAGGTTACAATTTTTAAATGTACTGAAAAGTCAGGAAATGTAGAAATTAAGCAGCTGCTTTTTGATCTCTTTTTTACCGTCTAAGTCCAAAGTAGCTGGATGGAGCCACTCAGATTTGACACGGGGATAACTGCAGACTGGGACTTGGTCCTGGACCACTGTAGCGGTACACGCTGTCATGTGAGTCACTCTCTATAGGATGCCAGGAGAACAATGGTGTTGCTCATTAAGTGACCTGAAAACAGAGTGCTCTCAAATACCACTATCAGCTGGTCCCCTCTGGGACCAAAGCTGCAGACTCTACAGTTGGTAAATGGGGTAAGTTTATTTAGAGCAAGTTCACCCAAATCCTTTTCCAACAAAATTAGATTTCAGCTAGGTTAGCATTTTGCCCCAAAAAAGCCAGGGGAATATTTGTCTATATTAAAACAGGGTGAATCACTGATAATAAACGAACAAGGAGATTCGCACTGCTGCTGAATCCCATGTGCCAGGCAATCTCGAGCATCTGTGTTGTCTTGCCTACAGGCACATCTATGCAAGCAAGCGCTGTTACCCCCCAGTCTGATGTGCTGCTGTTGCTGTTTATGCTCTTGGTTCATAATCTGTGACCCAAACACAGACTCAACCTACAGAAAATCCTATGTGTCACAGGCCAGGCGGACTACTTTCCATCAGCTCACCTTTGTTTGGTTTTTCTTTTCTGTTAACCGAGCAGAGATGTTATTACATGTCCCAAATCTGCTTGGGTATCTTCATGGTTTGCTGACCTCCTTTTAGAAAACAATGGTAAGACTTCTTTTCCTTGCACACTTTGCCCTTATTGTAAACAGGATCTACGCCAATCCTTTCTATCTGCTGATCTATGTAAGCAAACAGCCTTGGCTTGAGAAGCAGTAAGCTTTTGGATGTCACAGTTATTTCTGCAGTGATAGTCTGACCATGGCCCAGAACTTTTAAAGCTCTGTAATTAATACACTCTTGCCCTGTTTCTTCTTCTTTCATGTTTCAAATTTCGATTTTTTCTAAGATAAAAGTATGTCACCATGTGTAGTGAAGACATTAACCTAAATAATATATAATACTTATTTTCAAGTGAGAATAATGACAACAACCAAAAATCTTAGAGCCACTGTCATTGGATTACTGAGGCTTTGCTTATCAAAGAAGATGGGATAAATACGACAGCAAGGTTAATATTGTTAATCTTCCTAAGCCTTTCAGCAGAATTTCTATTATTGTAATCAGATGCCACAGGTATTCCTTGGCTTGTCTATACCTCTTTAAGATATCATTACATTTCTCTGCTTTGAAATATGTGAGACCCTCAGGCAATTCACCTCTGTGTCTGGTTTCTGCTTGTATTTTTGCATTATGCAGCTGATTTGCTAAGAAGGTCCATTTTGAACTTAGGAGAAACACTGCTGTTTTGTTACCACATTAACCCATTCTGGATGACAAGTTCCCGCATTATCGTGCATCAACATTTTGCCTCCAGAAATCCAGATTCCTGATTCTGACTTCTGTG